TGAGGAGCCGGGCGCAGCGGCGCGGCCGGGTGGACCCCAGGCTCGGGCGGCGACGGTGGCGGCGGCGAGAGAGGCTGCCGGGGACCGAGTTCCGCAGAAAGGCGTCGCGCGAGCAGAACCTCGGCGGCGTCCTGGGGGAAGGCCCTGCTCTGCTGGGAGTGGAGGGCGGAGAGCTCTGTACTATGTACCGCCCCCGAGGGGAAGCCGACGCCGGGAGTGCCAGAGGGTGTCGCCGAGGGGGCGGCCCGAATGACAGTAGGGGGCCGAGTGGAGGCAGCAACTGGGTGAACCTAACCAGGGGCGGGACGACAAGCCCCCTGGAACGTGAAACTCCCTAGTTCTGAAATTGATCCCAATGACAACTGCTCAGGGCTGTGCCAGGAACCACGCCCTGGGCTCTCAGAGCTTGGAGGGGGAGTCGCTCCGCCAGCTATTGCCGCTGATAAGCTTCGCCTGCATTCCAGGCTCCACCTTTCCCTGGGATCCCGACTGGACAGTGGTTAAGTGTTCCACTGCTAATTAAAAAGTCGGCGGCGCTTCGTCACATTACAGGGAGTGACGTGCATCAGTCACAGAATTATAGCGGACGAACACTTAGGGGTTGGGATTGGAATAAATTGGTTAGGTGAACCGATTGTAGTCAGTGCTAAAACAAAAGTGTACCAGGGATTGAATGGGGAAAAGCAATTATAATTTACGTCCTCTCGTTCAAATGAAGGGAAAAAAAAAAGATAATCCTCAGAGAGAGAGAAAGACAGCTTGTTTCCAAGATCTTAGCTTTGGAATCTCGAGAGACATTGAGAGTGTTACCTGCCCTTGCAGGATCTCTGCAGATGGAACCCCAGGTAGTAATTCTGTCTTGAATAGCTAATTGTTCTGGTTTTGACACCTTTCCCAGTGTTCCTGCTAGGAACTTGACCTCCGGCGCCAGAACTTTTCCTGTTTATCCTTTGCAGCACAAAGGATAACTTCCCTCCTAAAGCGTTCTTCAAAATGCTTTTTATCCCCGAGAAGATTCTTTTCATTGATTTATTTACCTGACAAATCAATTGGTCTCAGCCCAAAAAATTGAGATGATACCATTTCAGGCACCCACTGAGGGCCTGGGGGTTAAGGAGTTGTTCCGCAAACCTACCAGCTGCTCTGGGGCTGACTGATGAGCTGTCTCCTCCCATGTGCTTTACAGCCTCTGAAAACTCAATGGAGGATCAGCTATGAGTTGTTTTCCACTGCAGGGCAATAAATCGACCGAGGTGAGCTTGGAGGATATGAGAAAAGTTTTATAAACAGAAGTATTAAGATCAGTAACATGAGAAAGGTTTTATAAATATGTTGTTGTTGTTGTTGTTGTTGTTATGTGTCGTCGAGTCGTTTGCGACTCATAGCGACCCTATGTACAACAGCCCTAAACCCTGCTCTATCCTGTGCCAATCACACTGTCTCTGACACACCCATCCCGATTACCCCAGTCACATAAATATATATTTATAAATATAAGTATTAAAATATGACACATGCAGGACGTGTTTTCTAGAAAAACAGTGAACAGTATTCTGGCCACAAAATAAGCCTTAGAATCTAATTGAAAACATCCAACACGAGTGTAAAACAAAAATTAAAGAAATGCAAGTGCTAATTGCCAAATTAATTGCTTGTGCACTAAGAAAGGGTCACAAACTTATATGCTTTCAATGACCAGGTAAGTAATAAAAGTAAATGAAGTGGGCAGCTTGAAGTATTTGGAAAACTGGCATCCAAGTTCCGCTTAAAGAAAGCACCTACCAGAATATGTGCATGAGATGCTCAGGTGTTAAAAGGAGGTGGAAATGTGGGGAACATATGGAAACTCTTCATTTTCAAATGTTGGCAAAGTCCATTTTTGAAAACCACTTCTGACTGATCAAACGATCACAGGCCAGATACAGCCATTGGAGTTCCGAGTTGCAAGCAATAGAAGTGAACTCTGGGTCATTTAAACAGAGGGGAATCTGATCCATGAGGGACATGGGCACTGCCAGAATTGCTAGTTCCAATGTAAATAGAATCCAGGCTCTCATTCTATTGTCTTCCAGCTGTCTCAGTAGCCACAAGTGAGTGTTCCATCAGCCATCCTACTGTTCCGGAAAGCCAGCTGCTTCTGGCTGGTGGAAGTGTACTTGTAAGACCAGTGGCTCTAATGGGATAGCCAATTTCCTTTACTTCATTATTGTAAAGTTAGTTCCATGGTCAGATGCTATGATGTAAGGTACCATGAAAGGTGAGGCACTGGAGTGAGCTGAGTTGTATGTAGGCTTGAAGAGTATGATTAAGGTGTTAAGGAAGAATGATGTCAGTTTAAAGAGTAAGGTGCATCAGATTCAAGCCATCTTTTCAATTACTTGTTAAGAAAATTGGACAATGACTAAGGATGACGTAATTGATGTGTATTTGAGTTGTGATATTGGAGAAAAGTGCTGAATATCCCATGGACTAACAAAAGAACAAACAAATATGTCTTAGTGAAAGTGCAAACGGTGCTTTTTAGAGGCAAGGATGGTGAAGTTTTGTCTCAATTTGGGGCATATTTTTAGGAGGGAGCAGTCCTTGGAAAAAGATATGCTTGGAAAGGTGGAGGAAGGTCAGCAAAGGAGAGGAAGACCTGCACTGTAACAAGATGGATTGACATAATGACTGCAGCAATGGGTTCAAGTACCAGAAATGACAAGGATGGCACAGCATCGGGCAAGATTCAGCTCTTTTGTTCATAGGGTCACTAAATCATTCTCAATGGCACCAAACAGCGTAATCAATATTATTAAACAAAATAGGCATTCATTTCTAATGGAAAAATAATTTTGATGTGTAAACTTTATTCAAAGCACAGAATGTTAAAAAAAAAACAAAAAAAAAAACACCACAACACTCCTATACCTGTCAGATCTGATTTGACGGCATGTGCACAAAAATAGTAAAATTTAAAAAAAATTTTAAAACGCACACCACAATGAATGAATGGAAACCCACAATTTCTGTAGATGTTCATTAAAATTAATAAAATTTAATTTAAAAAAAGCAAACAAAAAAATCACACCAAAACACAAAACCTAACTAAATAACTACCAACCTTAGCCAGCTCAACATCAAGAAAACAAAGATTCTCACCACTGAGCCAATTGGCAGCATCGTGATGAATGGTGAAGAGATTGAGACTGTTAACAGATTTAGTTTGCTTCGTCCACAATCAACACTCCTGATATCAGCAGCAAGGAAAGCAAGACACGAATTACATTGGGAAAGCTGGCTGTTAGGGACCTTGCCAGAGTACTCGAGAGCAATGATGTCAGTCTGAAGACTACAGTGCGCCTGGTCCAGGCCTTAGTCTTCACAATTGCTTGGTATGCATCAGAGAGCTTGGCAACGACTAGGATGATACAGAATTGATGCCTTTGAGCTGTGGTGCTGGAGAAGAATGATGAATATACCATGGACTGTCAGGAGAACAGGTTCGTCCTATAGAAGGTGAAGCCAGCCTGCTCCTTGGAGGCAAGGATTCTGAGGCTTCATCTGATATACTTCGGGCATATTACAAGGAGGGAGTGGTCCTTTGAGAGGGAAATCATGCTTGAAAGGGTGGAGGGATGAAGAGAGGGAGAGCATCGCTGGGGTAATGAGGGTAGAGTGTCAGAGACAATAAAGTTGGCACAGGATAGAGCAGGTTGTAGGGCTGCTGCACATAGGGTCACTGTGAGTCCCAAGTGACTTGAATGCACATAACAACTACATCCAGATTTTCTTCATTTCTACTCCTCCTCCTCCCCCACGGTGGACGGTGTTGGGTGGAGGTCCCTGATTAAAACAAGCTTGGAGGCAGGAGTAGCATCCACTTCTGTAAATAGCTTGCCTCCAGAAACCCTATGAACCTGGAGAAAAGATGAAAGTCACACAAGTGTCAAGGACTTTCGTTCATAGGGTTGCTATGAGGTGCTTACAACTCAATGGGCTGCACTTAACAACATACCAAGCCAAAGGTGGGTGACCCTGATCCAAGGCCCTCAGGCCTGTTTTTCATTGTTTTGGGTCAAACATTCTTCTAAGTCGTATAGCCCTGGTGTGTCCACTTGCTGTACAGAGGTAACTTGTGGTTGCTGTGATGCTGAACACTGTGACACTGATGTGTCAAATGCTATAATGGTTACCAGTGGTGGATAGTGTTTGGTGAACTTCCCGACTTAAAACAAGCTTGGAAGCAGGAGTGCCATCCACTTCCATGAATAACTTGCCTCCAAAAACCCTATGAACCTGGAGAA